GGAAGAAGGATCTGATCTGGAATCTTCTCAAGTCACTGGGCCAGGCCTAGAGATCACTGTATTGTGCAGAGCTAAAACCCAGTCTCGGGAGCCATGCCCATCACTTCACGTGGTATTTCCTTGTATAAGGCTCCACGTGGTGGATTTATTTTGGAATTTTCTGTCAGGTCGTCCTTTCAAGAACCGAGGGAAACCTATCCTGCCTGCTAAAAGCCTTGGATTGCAAAAGACTCCAGAAAAATTGACGGCTGTTCACAGTAACTGTTAAGTTTTATGGTTGCACATTTGTTCCTTCCTGTTCCTGGCTCTGATTTATTTTGTACTTCCACTTTAATAGCCATCTTTTGAGGGGATGTGGTGAAGTATAAGTAATTCCTGTTTTGTTTTGGTTTTGGTTTTGGTTTTTTCCCTTTGGAGCATCACCATTTGCCTGGGGCGGCTCTCCAGGGAGGCCTTCAACCTGAGAGTCCTCTGGGATGCTGACCCCCTGAGTTTGCCTCTGCACTGGGAGGCCCATATGCTGCCAGGACCCAGATTTTCTAGTCAGGGGCCTGGCTGCGTCTTTCAGTTGCAGGTTGGTCCTGAACTCCCAGTCTGGGTTCAGCACTGCGTGGCCCCTCCGTGGTCCTCGAATCCCTCCCTGGCGCTGTCCGCCTCACTCCTCTGTGGAAATACCAACCAGAACACGCTCTCCTTGTGGGATTTGCCTTTCATGGAGAGACCAGGGTTTTTTCCAAGTGTGCTGAGACAGAGAAAAGGAGTGAATGATTTTTAGCCATAAAGCCTGGGTTAGAATCCCAAAGCTGTTTCCGGCATTCCTGAACCCCCCACCTGGAAAATGGGGTCATAACATCTGCATCACAGGGTGCCAGGAGGATTGAGGGGCCCACACGTGCCCAGGACGCTCACAGTTGCCCGGCCTTGCCTGTCACCAGGGGCTTTTGCTTCTTGGTGTGTCCCTGCTCGGTCCTCGGGCCTGGAGCACAGCTGCAGCAGTCACCACCTGACCCCCTAAAAACAAATGCTGTAAACAGCTGCAGTGAGACCCCTGCCCCCGCCTCTGCTCTGCCAGCCTTTTATTGTCTTTTGGTATTTTTTGGTCTCACATCTCACAGCAACTGGTAACCTACAGTTCTTCCTTAACCCACACTTTTAGGGAAATAATTTTCCTTTCCTCCCCTTCCATGCGTCTGAGCTATAGGTGCCTGCCTCCCCTAAGCCCTGTGTTTTGCTCTCTCTCAGAGGCTCCGAGAATGGTCTCTCCCATTCCAGGCTTCCCCCAGCACCGGGCCTGCATCCTGTCACTGCCCGTACACGGTCAGTCTCCCCTCCAGCTCCCTTCTCCCAGCTTCTACAACTCTCCCTTCTCCGTGATTCTCACCCTTGCCTGCTGATAGGCTTGTCCCTCTGTGGCAGTCCTCTTTGCGAAACCTTATGTCCCCAGCCCTTTAGCTGTAGGTGACTCTTGTCACCGCTGAGGTTCAAGGAGAGGCAGTGACCCACCTCTTCACACCCAGCACCTTCCCAGTTTCTGCAGTTGGGTTCTCCTCTCCACCGAGCCTTCCAGAGCGGGCATCTTGTTCAGCTCAGGTGCTTTTCCCTGGGCTTCCTTATGCCTGACCTTCCTCACTTCTCACCCTTCGTGGCTTTGGGGACAGAGCAGTGTCCTGGTTTCCTCCCGGCTTCCCCTACTGGGAGTTGGGGGAGCGTGGTCCGCAGGGCACATACCTGGGTCCTCTTCATCAGCCGCAGCTTCAGCTGGTGTCACCCAATCTCTTTGCCTGTGTCCTCAGTCTCTCCTGGGTTCCAGAGAGAGATGGGGCTGTTAACAGGACCCACCTCCTTTAGCGGGGTGAGGATGGAATATGAGCGCAGTCCCCGTACTCGCTCCTGTCACCTGTTCTGACAGGCCCCGTGTGACTGCTCCCTGTCCCCTATCTTAACCTGCTTGTCCCCTGCCCCTGTGTGTCCAGTTCCTCCAGCAACCCATCCCGTTCCCACCTGCCGCCCTGACTCACCCGTGGCCCTGGTTTCACAAGCTCTGTTCCCTCTGCTGCCCCGCTCAGGCTTTCAGGTAGGTTGCAGCTGAGGGTCCCTTTCCGGCCCTCTGAGCCTGGGCTGTGACTGCTGCCATGGGGCACGTGTACAGGACTGGTTCGTTTGCCCCCCACAAGGCTATACTGCGGGCAGGTCCTGTGTTAGTCTTCAGTGTCCTCGGGCTGACTGTAGTGTATCCTGTCCCATCCCATCATCCAAGACCCACTGTCCCCGAGCAGGCAAGTCAGTGTGTTCACAGACACGTGCTCACTCGTGCCTGACAGGGCATGTCTTTTCTGGGGGCGCTCCTCGGAGTCTAGAGAAATGGGGCAACTCCTCTGTGGCCTGAGGATGGGGGCAGCGGCCTCTGGCTTCCTCAGGAGAGCCACACAGCACCCCAGAGGGCGGCAGAGCCGTCAAAATGTGCCTATACTGTACACTGTGCTTTCAGCCACCTCGAAGGGCCTTCACAGGCTTCTCGTTCAAGTGCCTTGTTTTAGAGACGAGTCTGCCTCCCAAAGGTGAGGTGACTGAGGTCACACACAAGTGAACACAGAGCCAGAAAAGGAGCTGGGTGGCCGCTGCTCGTCTGTGTCATTATTTCCCATCACAGTGACATTTAACCGTGTTCTCAGTGGAGTCCTGGCCTCTGCCCAGGGCCGTGAACAGAACGCTCCCCCCGGGAGGCACGTCGCAGTCCCGTGGCCCGGCCACTGACGTCGTCCGTGCGTGGTGTGGTGTCGGCCGGTGCAGAGGCCCCGCTCTGAGTGGGCTGTGAGCCCGCATTCATTAGCTGTGAACTTTGTGCTCCTGTGGCAGGTACAGGAATATTCCGGCACCTTTATAGCATGTGATTCTCAAGGGCTCTGGGGCCACGCAGGGTGGGAGCCGCGTCGCGGGCAGAATTCTCCACGCTCCGCCGGCTGACCTTTTGCATTGCTGGCATTCTTCCCTGCTGCATGCAAGCGTGCCCTGAGGAGACTGCCTTCTCCCCAGGTCTCGGTTTTTACAAGAGAGCTGTATTCGAACCCTAGATTCATTTGAAGCCTTTTCAGCAAGTTCGTCCAGAGAGTCAGGGCAGGTGGAGTTGTGGTCTGTGAGTAGGTTTAGTCTGGATTCTAGTCCTGCTGCCTCTGGTCACATGTATAACCACCCTGGGCATCAGTCTCCCCTGCTGTACAACTCTGTCCCACCCTCCCCCACCCCCCAACTTAGAAGCCTGCCTGTCAGAAATGCAAAAATGTGAGCATTTTTTGTTTTGACCACACAGGTACCCCCTCACCTGTGGGCACAGTCCCAGCCTCCTCCGTGTCCAGGCCTTGCCGGTGGCCTCTCTCATTCCTCAGCACCCCCTGTCGCCCACTCCAGGCCAGCCACACCATGCTGCTCAGTGCACGGTGCAGGGACCGTGGGAGAAGGGAGCAGATGCAAGTGTGGCCTGGCAGGCATGGTCATGTCTCCTGTTATTCCCGGGACCCCCTGGGTCTTGCTTTCCAGGCAGATGGCGGGGGCAGGGTGAGCTTTGCTTTTCCTCAGGTGCTTGTGCAGGTGGTGAAAATCCCAGTGGAGGCCAGGCTGGGGAGATTGTTAGAGACACTCCCCAGGCATCCTGGGACTCCCGGGCGCACATCTCTGATCCCAGCTGAACCCTCACCTTACAGAGGAGGGAGTGGGTTTATTTTACTGCTTCCCACCGTCAGTTCTCCTGGCCTCTTCTGATTGCCCTCTGCTGGCCAGTCCTGGGAGCAGGGTCTGGAGCCTCTGCCTCTGGTGCTGGTTTCACTGCTGCCGAAAAGCCCGCCTGGAATGGGGAACAGAGGCAGGTGATAGGACTTCTTTCCGGGACTGCTTAGCCAGCCTCATTTCCTTTTACTACAGAAGAAATCCTCGGTAACATTTAGCCTTCGCCAGGTCACTGCAGTTGCCCAGTGTTCTTGCTGACTTCTGTTTGTGGCACACAAAGAGAGAGCTCTAGCAGCATCTGAGGTAGGCTGACTGTAGATGCCTTTGCTGAGGTTTGCACTTGCAGTGCAGCAGTCAGGAACTCAGAGGAATGCTAGCGCCCCCTGTTACTAGTTGTGTAGATCTTGGGCAGGTTGGATCACTGACTCCTAGTTTGCCTGGACTCAGTTTTAGCGTTGGAAGTCCTGTGTCCTGAGTCCTGGGTGAGCTACCTGGAGTGGTTGGTCACCAGACAAATTGATGAGCTTCTCTAAAGCCCTGGCACCCTCAGCAGAGATAGTTTTGCCTACTTTGTAGTGGAGTTCCAGGGACATAACCTGATAGTGATTGTGGAGTGCTAAGCAGGTCTCAGTTTTCTAGAGCTCTTGTAACAAAATGCCACCAATGGGGTGGCTTAGAACAACATAAATGTGTCATTTCACAGTCCTGGAGCCCAAAAGTCTGAAATCAAAGTGTCAGCAGAACCGTACGCCCCTTGGGCCTGTAGGGAATGCCGTGTTACTTCTTCCTAGCTTCTGGCAGTTTTCTGGCCCTTTGGCATTCCTTGACAGGAGAGGTCTCCCCTCAGTCCTTTCTCTTCTCATGGGTGTCTTTTCTGGCTGCATGTCTGTCTTCCCTGCATCCAGGCTTCCCCTTTTTATAAGGCCACTAGTCATATTGGATTAGGACCCACCCTAATGACCTCATTTGAGCCTGGTTACCTCTGTACAAACTCTGTTTCCAAATAAGGCCACATCTTAGTTACTAGGAGTTACTAGTCTGTATCTTTTGGGGGGGGGGGGCACAATTCAGTCCATAGCAGCAGGGTTACTGCTGTTTGTATCATTATCTTTGCAATCCTCAGGAAACCAAGAGTATCTAAGAAACACCTCCTGCCCCCAAGAGGAGACGGTGTGGGGAAGAGGAGCTGGCTTGGTGGTTGGCATTTGGTACCTGGGAACCATTTGAGCATGAAGGATACAGACACAGCCTAACTGCTGGCTTTGTTCTGCTTGGTGCAGATGGAGCAGATGAGGGGCGAGCTACTCCAGGAGAGAGCTGTCAAGCAGGACTTGGAGTGTGACAAGATTTCCCTGGAGAGGCAGGTAAGGCTGACTTTGGACTATACCCCCCCCCCCCCCCATGGGGGTCTTCTTTGCAGGGCATCCCAAGAGCTCTGGGACGTAACTCACCTGAGAGGTGGAGGTGTTCCCAAAGGTCTTTTCCAGAGAGGTTTTCCCAATAATATTAAATCTGCTTGGAGGTTGAGCAGCCACGGAAGGAGAAATTGCAGGTGGTGGCTTCTGGATCCTAAGAGGGCTAAATTCTAATGTAAAAGGAATGAAAAAGAGCCGTGAGCTGCCAGCAAAGCTTATTTGAATCATTATTTCTCTTACATGCTGTTGGTGTAAATGCTTCACTGAATACCATGGATGATATTGGTGAAAGAGCCTATTTCTCCTGCCTCCCCCACCCTGGATGGGTTTGAAAGAAGAACAGGGCCACACCTGTTTGCCTGACATCCAGAAGTCCTAGGATGTGCCAAAGATTTCACTTGGGCTCCTAAGGGCCTGTGGTAGAACCTCTTCTTTCCCCCGCAGGGAGCTGAGGGCTCCTGCTTTCCTGGAGAACTTGCTCTTCCCCAGGCCCCCTGGGGCCCCGCATCCTGCCATGGAAGGCAGGCTTATCACAGTTGCCCACCCTATATCCCTGCACAGAGGGCACGCCAGACACACACCCCTCACAGCACCCCTGTCTGATTCTAGAACAAGGACTTAAAGAGCCGGATTATCCACCTGGAAGGTTCCTACAGGTCCAGCAAAGAGGGGCTGGTGGTGCAGATGGAGGCCAGGATCGCTGAGCTGGAGGACCGCCTGGAGAGCGAGGAGAGGTGAGCCCGGTCAGGACCAGCTGCCGTGCAGAGGCCTGGCACGTAGTGATGGTGACACTGCAGAGCGCTTTCCCGCGTGTGTCTCTTCCTGTCCTCATGAGCCTTCGTGTGAGGAAGACAGAGCAAGTAAACCGATGAGAGCACCGAGAACTGTCCCAGCGAGTACTTGAGGAAGGTGGCCAGGCTGAATATCCATGCGCAGGACGCCTACTCCTGAGTCCACAGCTTCCCCACCGTGCTGGCTGCCCCTCCCCCCGACCCCTCAGCAGGCCAGGCTGCCTCATAGGCTACTGAGTTTGAGCTGGATTAGAGGCAGGGGGTTGACTCTTCCCTGGGGGCCAGGGATATCAGAGCAGAGGCCAAGTGTCATCTCAGAAATGGGCGGGACCCCCACAGTGGGTGGGAGGCATTGGGATCAGAGGGCCACACTCATTTCCCGAAGATTCTCTGCAGCTAGCTCTAAGATCATAGCCTAGGGGCCAGTACCAGGTTGAGCTTGACTGGCCTCCGTTCTCACTCTTGATCTCCACCTTCCTGGAAGGGGCGAGGTATGTGTGTGATTGGCACTGTGCACTATCTGTTTTCAGGAGGACTTGGGGACCGGGCTGGGGCAGCCTGACCCCTGCGATGCTCACACCTGGTGGTCAGAGACCCTCTGCTTTACAAAGTAGCGTCTGGGACTACAGGAACTCAGGGCAGCTCCAGTCCCAGCTCTGCCTGTCACTGACCCTGTGGCTTCAGGCGGGGCACTTCCCTTCGTGGAGCCCCATTTCCTCACCTGTCCAGGGGGCAGCCCCTTTGTCCCGTACTGTCATGTTCTCCCAAGCGTCACGCTGACCAGGCCACCTGGCTGGAGCTTCCCCTCCTCCGAGACCTGGCCTGGGCCTCCTGAAGGGCTGGGATGAGAGGGTCTCATTTTGTTCCCCCAACCTTTCCAGGGAGCGGGCCAGCCTCCAGCTCAGCAACCGACGGCTGGAGCGGAAGGTGAAGGAGCTGGTGATGCAGGTGGACGATGAGCACTTGTCCCTGACTGATCAGAAGGACCAGGTGAGAGACACTGATTCTCAGATGGGGTTTTACACCCTCATGGCAGGAAGGCGATGGAGTTGTGGAGGCTGAGTCCCATCTTCCCCTCTCCCCAGATGCATCATAGAACAGCGGGGCCTTTGTAGCCTACTTCAGTAGGGGGTGCAGCAAGTCCTGGCCCCTGAGCTGAGACTGGTTACTCCCTTTGCCATCTCTCCGTCTCCTGGGGAGATGGTGGCTGGATTGCTGGCCTGCCTGTGCTGGACTCTTCTCTGTCTAGCTGGGCGACCAGCTAGCACTCAACCTGCCCTCTCTCCGAATGCAGCTGAGTTTGCGCTTAAAAGCAATGAAGCGACAGGTGGAGGAGGCCGAGGAGGAGATTGACAGACTAGAAAGTTCCAAAAAGAAGCTGCAGAGGGAGCTGGAGGAGCAGATGGATGTCAACGAGCAGCTGCAGGGACAGCTCAATTCCATGAAGAAGGACCTAAGGTGGGTGAGCGTGGCAGCCCCGTGGGGACCATGATCTCCCTGACATTTGAGGCGAGATTGGCGCTTTCAGGGTGTTCTCACTCCCGGTCTCTGAAGCCAGTTCCTTGTTGTTGCCTTGAGGGGTCATCCCATCCTAGAGAGTGGCCACATCCACTAGGTGACCCTGTGTGTTCAGTCAGGTCTCAGATGTGTCATCCTCATACCAGTCTCTTGATGTCAGCTGAGCAGTTCATCCCTCTTACCCATAAGGGGAAACCGAGGCTCAAAACAGGCATCCCAGCTCTTACCGCCATGGAGGGGGCAGCTCTTAGATCAGCACTTAGGACACCTGCTTGTAAGGAGAAATTAGATAAGGTTTGGGTTCTTATCCTCATGAAGACTAGACTGTCTCAGGAGACAGCTGCTTCTAAAGCTCCCCTGCCGTGATCCTAAGGGGTATGGGCATGGGGGTCACTTTCCCTGCCCCAGGGTCATTGGGGTGCAGAGTGAGATTAGGTTCATGCTCATCCATAGAGCTGAGCCTTTCTCAGAGGCTGACTATGCTGGTGGCATAGGTGGTCTCCTCTAAATGGACAGAAGACCCCAGCCTGTTGAGAATCCTATAACCAGGGCCTATTGATCAGGGCTGGTATTAGGGTGCACCATTTGCGGGGGTGCCAAAAATCTCAGTAATCAAGGTAGATAATTAATGCAGTATTATAGAAAATAAATGCAAAAGCCCATGGTAAACAAGATACCAAATTTAAGATGGGATCAACAACGGGGCACCTGGGTGGCTCAGTCAGTTAAGCTTCCAACTTCGGCTCAGGTCATGGTCTCATGGTCCATGGGTTCAAGCCTGGTGTTGGGCTCTATGCTGACAGGTCAGAGCCTGGAGCCTGCTTGGGATTCTGTGTCTCCCTCTCTCTGCCCCTCCCCATCTTGTGCTCTGTTTCTTTCTGTTCTGTCTCTCAAAAATAAACAAACGTTTAAAAATTAAAAAAACAAACAAATGGTGGGATCAATAACAGCACCCTGACAAAACATATTGTAGCTTGAGGCCAAAGGAAAAACCAGTACTACCCAACTTGCCCCAGCCCTGCCCAGCCCTCCGTGGGCAGTTTGCACCTGCTGCTGAAGGAACTGTCAGGTGTACACCAGCCCATGGGCTTCTGTGCCAGCCGGTGGGGCGGACAGACAGGAACCCAAGGCCCTTCCTTCATCCCCTGAGCAGAGACGGACCACAGCCCAGGGCCTGGACACATGCTCCCTGTTGTTTCTGCAGACTTAAGAAGCTGCCGAGCAAGGTGCTGGACGACACTGATGATGATGACCTCAGCACGGACGGTGGGAGCCTCCACGAGGCGCCGCTGAGCTACACCTTCCCCAAGGACAGCACTGCCATCAGCCAGATCTGAGCCCCCTTCCGGGGCTGTGGAGGTGGCCTGTCAGGCCTCGCAGGGACCCCAGCCAGCCGCCTGCATTGGGGACCCGCAGCTAACTGCGCACGTGCAGCAGGGAGCCGGTGAGGCCGTGACCACGCAGAGCGGAGACCGGGCGCCCCCTCTTCCCAGGACAGCCTGGTTCCTACACGTCGCAATCCTCTCGTGGTCCCGTGGTAGCGGCCGCTCCCAGCTCAGGCAGGTGGCTACTGCAGCGTAAATGTTGATGTCACTGCGGGGTTTGGAGAATATGACTTGGCAGGAGAAAGCCCGGGTGCAGCACCGCGGTCTGCTGGCACCGATTGCAGTGCTGCTCCTGCCCCTCCCCCACCAAGGAAAAGAGTCCAAAGTGCTAGAATAGCCGTCGTCGGGGGTGGGGGGGATGTATAAACTGTACATATTTTAATCCCGGTTCTCATGGACTGCTGCTGTTCCACTGTGGAATGTTACAGAGGCTTTGTAGGGTGGCTTGTTTGTAAACTCCACACTTCTAATTATTTTTTTAAAACATGGAGCTACTGGATTTTACATATTAAGACACAGATGAGAGAGAGGGTAGCAGACAGACTGCTTTGGACATCAGAGTTGGAAAAAAGGAATTGTCATGGTGATAAGGGACAATCCTGAGAAGAGAAATTCAAGTGGTCTTGGTAAATAACTTATGGAAGGAGAGAAAGTCTGAGGGTCACTTCTATCTGTGGCCCTGCTTACTTTATCTAGAATTTTGTTGTGATTTCTAAACCTTGCTGAGACCAATTCCCACTCAACAACTGCAATGTGGTTTCCACAGTTGAAGTAGGGAGACTTGTAATTAAGGTTTCTGGCATATGATGTAGTTTCTGGAGGGTTGGGGTCTTCCTGTCATTTATCCTTTCCTCCTTCCGCCCACGTCAGGCCCCAAGTAGCCTCCTCTGCCCAGAGTTGCTGGGTGGGGAGTCGGAGGATGTGGGGAAGAGAAAGCAGGGTCCAGTAAGGTCATGGGGAAGGGGAGGAGAGGAGTAAGCAGGTGTGTGTGGGTGTGCGCAGGAAGAGAAGGAAGTTCTTGAAAGCTGGGGGGATGTGTAGACAAGGGGTAGGTTGAGCAGACTCTCGAGTTTATGTCAGGAAAGCGAGGGAAAAAATGAAGCCAGACAGGAGGTGTCTCTGTACAAACCGGAAGGATCCTCCCAGCTTCCTGGGACAGAGGGACGTTGGCCTGCACGAGGCACGCAGTAATTGGGATTGAGCGAGTTCTGTGGTGAGACCACGTTGCTGGGACAGCATAATAGGGAACTGGAGTTGGGAACATGCAGTATCCCAGTACTTCCTCCTGGCCTTTCTGTTGTCACCTACACCGTGACTGTTCCCAGGTATGACCAGAAGCCAAGTCCAGTCACAGCTGGGCCCCTGTAAGTGAAGGCCAAAGTGAGAGCAGGCAGGTCAGTAGGGCCACCGCCAGCGAGAGAGCACTGTTAGATATGTGTGTGTGTGTGTGTGTGTGTGTGTGTGGTTACACACACACACACACACACATTCTCTCTCTCTCTCTCTCTCTGTCTCTGTCTCTGTCTCTCTGTCTCTGTCTGGGGCAGAGAGAATAGTGTTCAGTTGCTTTGACAGTGTCCTCAGGCATCCTAATAGATGGGAAGCCTGTGAGCCAGAGAACTCTGTGACATTTACCATGAAGAGCAGGGAGTTTAAGTGCCCTGCCTACCCCAGGTCACAGAGCCCACTGACCGGGATTCAGGGTGATCAGCTGGGCTTAAAGGCAGGTGTACCATCCTTCCCCCCACCCAACGCCCACCCCCATCCACCACAGTTGAGGGCTTTGGAACCAGAAGAGCCAAGCCTTCCTCCACCTCTGCTGGCTTGAAGTGGTTCTTGCCTCTGATTACTTGTTTGAGGTGTGGAGAGATTCCTCCCTTTAGCCAGTCATTCACTGAGCAGATATTTACTGGGCATCCGTCATGTGTCAGCCACAGCGCTTGGTACCTGAAATAAAGCAGTGATTATAGCAGACCCAAATCCCCTTCTGGAGTGCAGTTAGGGGAGAGAGGGGGATGACAGCAGTTATACAAATGAACACAGAGGCTGAGCCCCTCCGTACCCAGCCCTGGAGCCCCTCTGTCCCCTTGGGGACACGACAAGCCTGGTTCACTGGAATTCTCTTCAACCCTCAGAATATTCTTGGTTTCCCTGCTTCTTCCACCTTCTTTAGATATTTGCCAAGAAGTCAGCCTAAAAATGCCTCACCCCACTCATAACTATAGGTGGGAGGGGAGAAAGGTCAGAGGTGCAAGAACTTTGGGGCTAAGTGTCCATCTTGGTTTGTGAGAAAGCCACTGTCTCTCTTTCTGGCCAGTTCCATGCGGTAGCCATGAGGCTGGCTGTAAGAAGCAAAAGTGCGCATGAAAAGAGAACAAAGATCAGCATCCAAAAGGGTTGCATCCTTACCATAGAAGACGGGCCGCTGTGGATGTTAACAAACACATCACTCTACATAAGAATGGCTCTAGCAGTGAAGTGTGTGGTGTAACCCTTGGAAGCAACATTGGACTGGGTCTTGAGAGGTGTTTTCAAGTCCTCACTCTTCTTGCCCCAGTGACCTTGATAGGGGTGACCCTGATGGGGCGTGTGCTCCAAAGAGTTCCTGGAATAAATGAGGACCATGGCGCAAGGTCCCTTCCAGCTCTGACTTGCTATCATTCTTTGATTTTATTATATACTCAGTGTTTTCTGTTTATTGCTTTAAGAACTAACCCTACTAAGGAATATTTTCTTTAGCTTAAAAAGAAAAAATATTTAATAAACAAATACGTGGCCAAATGCAATGCCGAGGAGACAATCATCATATATCTTTATAATTTTATTTTCCTGCTTCGGAGTGTCCTTTGACGAAGGCAAGAGGCTTTCAGGGTATGTCTGGCTGCTCTGGTTCGTCTTGGGGAAGAGACGTCCGGGCACAGCTACCTCCGTGTACGGGAACTGGATAAAGCAAGTTTGCCTTTCAATAAATGGTGTCACCCAGCAGAAATCTTGACTCTCCCGTTATTTTGACTCCCTTGTTTTTTCCAGAACTTGGCTCTGTGTCCACCAAGAAACAGCCAAGGTGCATGGCTGGCAACAGCTCGAGGAGGTGGAACTTTTCATGCCTGGGACCCGTTTCTGAAATAGAAGGGCGGGCGTGGGTCAGTGGTAAACACAGAGAGAATTAATACGGCTGCAGCTGATGGTGTTCGGAGAAACCCAGACTGCCTACTTGCAGAACAAGGCGAAATGGGAAGTGTGTTAGTAACTGAGAATACACAGATGTGCCCTGTTTCTTCCTTGTTCCTAAACTAAAATGGGTTCTCCATCAATCAGAGTTTACACATGATCTCTCTTGATCAACAACAGGCTGACAGCAGGTACTGGGGTCCCCATTTTATAGGAAAGAGCGATTTCTCCACAGAAGGGACCTATGCTGCTCATTCTTTGTCCTCCGATACATCCTCTGCCCTGTTCCTTGGAGGCTGCTGCCTCCATGACCTATGGCCGCCCTGTTTGGGGTCAGCCAGTAGGAGAGGTGGGGGTTGGGTATGTCTCTGTTGTCACTCCCTGCTTCATGCAACATTTTGGGCTGTGTCCTGTGGAGACTCGTGACTCCAGCAGCTACAGGACTTGGGTGGCCATACCTCCCCTTTGTGCCTCTGGGGCCTCTGGTCCTAAAGCTGGTGCTCACTTCCTTTTATAAAAAATTTTTTAAATGTTTTATTTATTTCTGAGACAGAGAGAGACACACACACAGCGTGAGCAGGGGAGGGTCAGAGAGAGAGGGAGACACAGAATCTGAAGCAGGCTCCAGGCTCTGAGCTGTCAGCACAGAGCCCGACATGGGGCTCAAACCCACGAACCGTGAGATCATGACCTGAGCCGAAGTTGGACGCTCAACCGACTGAGCCACCCAGACACCCCTGGTCCCTGCTTCCTGTTGGTATTCCTCTGGGTCCCTTGGCAGCCCTCCTGGGTTCCCGCAACACTACCCACCCCCCAGTGCAGCTCTCTGGTACAGCTCTTTACTAAATTCTTTGGGCCACCGCAGGTGTGTGCTGTTTCCTGTCCAGAGCTCTGCCCACTGCTCTGTTGATGCCCCCAACAATGTAAATATCCTGCCCGTCCAACTATCCTGCAGCCCCTGACTCCTCTTACTTGAAGTAAATGGAGCACCTCAGACATAAATGAGATTTTCTAATTTTAAAAAGTCCTCAAAGGCTTTGCATAAATTGTTTGCCCTTTTTTTTTTTTTTTTTTAAAGTAGGCTTCATGCCCAGCATGGAGCCCAACACAGGGCTTGAACTCATGCCCCATGAGATCAAGACCTGAGCTGAGATCAAGAGTCAGATGCTTAACCCACCGAACCACCCAGGTGCCCCTCTTTTCTTTAAGGTTAAGTTTATTCGGGTATATTTTCATCATGTGTAGTAAAAGGTGCTCTTTTTAGTATTACCTGCTTTTGAAACTGGATTTAGGCTCTTGGTCCTTCTACCAGGGTCTCTTGGTGGGGACAGGAGACTCAAGGGGAGCCCAGAGCCAAAGGGAAAAGTCCTTCCAGCCTGCAGCACCCTCCTCGCCATTCTTGGCATTTCTTCTTTTGAACTTGATAGCAGCAGTGATTCCGTCTTTGTTGGTAGATGTCATTAGCCAGAAACATTTTTTTTAAATGTTTGATATATTTCTGAGAAAGAGAGAGAGAGAGAGATACAGAATCCGAAGCAGCCTCCAGGCTCTGAGCTAGCTGTCAGCACAGAGCCCGATGCGGGGCTCGAACCCACGAACCGTGAGATCATGACCTGAACTGAAGTCGGACACTCAACCTACTGAGCCACCCAGGCACCCCAGAACTTTTTTTTTTTTTAATGTTTTTTTTTTTTTTTTTAAATTTCTTTTTTAATGTTTTATTTATTTCTAGGAGAGAGAGAGAGAGAGAGACAGCGTGAGCAGGGGAGGGTCAGAGAGAGAGAGAGTCACAGACTGAAACAGGCTCCAGGCTCTGAGCTGGCAGTCAGCACAGAGCCCGACGCGGGGCCTCGAACCCACGAACCGCGAGATCATGACCTAAGCGAAAGTCGGACGCTTTACCGACTAAGCCACTCAGGCGCCCCTTTTTTTAATGTTTTTAATACTGCTAATAGAGAAAAGACAGGGAGACACAGAATCTAAAGCAGGCTGTTGGCACAGAACCCAGCACGGGGCTAGAACTTACACTGTAAGGTCGTGACCTGAGCCGAAGTTGGACGCTTAACCGACTGAGCCACCCAGGGCCCCAAGCCAGAAAGTTTTCTATTCTAAATTTTCACATGATGGGGGAAGTGACTTGCCAGCAAGCTCCTGTCAGGGGCTAAACAACCCCATACATAGGCGGAAGTCCAGGCTTTGCAGAGGGATCAGCAATGCCTTGACCCCATGCTCACACCTGCCGAATACCCCGCACTGGAGTCATCACGGGCATTCACACCTGTCTCCCTCTGCAGGGTGAGATTTGAGTGTGTGCCCCATGCTAGGCTTATCAGGGCTGGAAAAAATGTGCCAGTGCGGTTCTCGGAGGCATTCAACAATAATACCTACACTGTGGGGGGCGTTTGCGTTTCCCACTATGCAGAATCTGGCTTGGCCTCACAGCAGATTGTCAACAACTCTTTGGGGATGGGAAGCATGATTCCAGAGGTTTCCTGGGTAAGCAAAATTAAACAATTTTAAGAGCAAGGCAAAACCCTTGGGAGTTAAGGAATCTGAGGCTTGGAGAAGCGGGGTGTTTTGCCGTAGGTCACATCTGGAGTGAGTAGCCAGCCCGTGAGCAGAAGCCACCGCCCTGGGCCAGGTGCTGCAGCAGATACAAGGTTTAAGCCACAGTCTGGCACCTTCAGGAGCTTACAGTGTAATTATCATAAAAGAGCAATTATTAAACTAAGTGGAAATTAGATATTAGCATTAAGTCCTTCATATATTTATGATGTACTAAATTAGTCTATTTTTCCCGTGTCTAATTCCCAGCCTTTCTGAGGGCATGTGGGTGAAAGTGGAGGTGCCAAGATCGGAGTCCGGGTCTCATTCTGGGGCTCCCGCTCGGCCCCCAGGAAGTTCTGCTGCCCCTCGCCCACATTCACTGCCCCAGAGGACAGAGATCTTTGATGTCATCCTGTGTTAGGGACCCCTCAGGCCCCTGGATCATTCCTCTTTCAGATCCCCCCTCTTGTTGGTTTCTAGGCAGCTCAACCACCCGTGGCCTGCCACCACTCTGGGCACGGCAGTCACAGGCAGGTGGAAGTCAAATCGACCTCATGGATGAGTCAAGTCACAGATTTTCAGCTGCTCATCTGACTCCCCGTCTCTGGTGCTACTTGCCGCTGTGCTGCCAGTCTCTCATTTTACCTAAGCCAATGGCCTCTTGGTGCTGTGCTAACCTGACCTGTCCGGGCCCAGTTTAGGGTGGGATGGCTGCCCTAGGTGGTCACTGGGCCTCCTCATAGTCTCACTGCCCGGAAGGTGGTCTTTCAGGAAGTCCTGGAGTTGGGGTGGTTCCCAGGGAACACTTCTCTTCCCAGCCCCCAGAGTGCTCCCTGGTGAGATCCTTCTAGAGTGGAATATAACAACCTCCATTGTGTAGTATCCTTTCCTATTCGTCTTACATTCAAAACTGCACTTGAAACCTGAAATCAGATTGTCCTCAACAGAACACTATCTACTGAGGTCACTAATAAAACCGCTCACCCCAGAGTAGCTCATTAAAGAACACCAGGTGGCTGCGCTGGAATCCAAAGACCCTGGGCTGGATAACACTGGGCTGCCTTCCTGGAGCTGATGGTATAGTCTCTGCTAGGCTGGGGCTGGGGTGGGAGGGGCGTCTCCCAGGGCCAATCCGCTCTGGGTCCCTGCAGGAGCAGAGACCAATGTGTGTCTAGGGAAGGGGGAAGTCTGAGCAGAGCCAGCTTCAGGACTTAGAGTCGTGTGCAGAAGGTCATCTCGAAGGAAAGGGAGTCCTCTTCCCCAGCTGTCCCCAGAACTAGTAGGGCTCCAGCTGTGGCAGCTAGACACCTGGTCACCTTAACAGGATATATGAGCTGTGGGGTGGGGGTTGTATGTGCAGGTCAAGGAAGCCAGTAGACCTGCCTCTGCAGCCACACAGCAGACAGAGGGCGCACCTTCAGGACCCCACACAGGGACTCTACAAAATCTAATCAGTTTTGTCCTGTGGGTGATTCTTTGTTTTTTGTTTTGTTTAAGCTCCATTATTGTTAGACAACCCAAAAAAAAGACTGCTAAACTATAGAGAACAAACTAATGGTTACCAGAGGGGAGATGGGTGGGAGAATGGGTGAAAATGGTGATGGGGATTAAGAGTACACTTATGATGAGTAGTGAGTAATGTATAGAATTGTTGAATCTAAAAAAAAAAAAAAAAGAATTGTTGAATCTATACACTGATACTAACATAACACTGTATGTTAACTATACTGGAATCTATGCTATCATTTCTCTACATGAGAATTACTATCTTTTTAAGTATATGGATTTATTTCAATAATCTCTACCCAAAGTGGGGCTCGAACTCATGACCCTGAGATCAAGAGTCACCTGCTCTTCCAACTGACATTTCCCTGATGATGAGTGATGTTGAGCATCTTTTCATGGGTTTCTTGGCCATCTGTATGTCTTCTTTGAAGAAATGTCTGTTCACGTCTTGTGCCCATTTTTAAATTAGATTATTTGGGTTTTGAGGGTTTTTTATTTTGGTATTGAATTGTGTAAGTTCTTTATATATTTTGAATGCTAACCCTTTATTGGATATGTCATTCGTGAATATCTTCTCCCATTCAGTAGATTGTCTTTTAGTTTTGTTGATTGTTTCCTTAGCTGTGCAGCAGCTTCTTATTTTGTAGTTTATTTTTGCTTTTTGTTTCCTTTTCCTTAGGAAACATATCTAGAAAAACATTGCTGCGGTTGATGTCAGAGAAATTATTGCCTATGCTCTCTTCTAGGACTTTTATGGCTTCAGAT